CTATATCGGCAAAAGCGACACTCGTACAGAGAAAAGCTATCGTCGCTGCTCTGCACTTCGATCATGTTCGATGCGTAAAATGCAGCACCATTTTGATGACCTCGAAAGGTCTTCGGTTCTCGCGAGCAGGTGTGGGTGAAGAACGCTGGAAAGTCAGCAAACTTTCCTTCGCACATCGTGCACAGAAGCAAAGGTGCGGGAGCTTCCTTGTCGGGACCGCGTCGTCGCTTTGCGGCTGGACTATCCTCCATCGAATTTGAAGATTCCGTGACAAAACGTTTCTGTCCTCCCTCTGCTGCTGTTGGAGCGGCGGTGACCGTGCCCGGTGCTTTCGCCATCGTTCCTCGAGAGCCCTGATCGCTGTTGTCCAGAACATGCATGGCCGAAGGTTCGTCTCTAATGTTCTTCAGTTCTGTATTATGCACAATCTTGAGATGCGACTTCACCCCCCTCAAAGAAGATGCTTTGTAACCGCAAAGGATACAAATAAACGTGTGTGGAGACGGGTGACTGTACCTGACATGGCGCCACAGCTGGGAGGGAGAAGAACCTGTGTAACCGCAGTGTTGGCAAGACAGCATTCCGGACAAGTCACTACTCTCCGGTGGATCAGACGGCCGATTATTATTATTCAGCGCCGTTCTGCAGTAATACTGCTGATGACCAACCAACGTCTTCTCTGACAGAAAACATATTCCACAGTTTTCGCAGGTATAATTTTTAGGCAGTCTTGCAGCGGAGAGTTCAGACGCCTGATTGATCAACAACGGACGTGTAAGCATGACCATTTCGTTCAGCCTCATGCCAGAACAACCGACAACGTCACGAAACTCTGGGGTTTCAGCATTACCCATGAAAGGCATGCGGGTCATCGTTACTGCCGTAGGCACCATTTCATTTGGCATCGTTGTCGCTTTCTCTGATGCCACCGTCGTCCTATAGTCCGGTGTAACGCTGCTGCCACTTCCGTCACCGTTTCCGCCGCCTTCTGCCGTCGAAGCAGCAACGACTGCCGTAACGGCAGCAGGGCAGTCAGAATTCGCGCAATCCATAGATCGTATGCACGACGTGCGACCA